CTGTAGTTCTCTTTTTTAGTTGGGTCTTTCTCAGGTTTTGGTACTAGAGTAATATTTGCTTCAAAGAATGACTTAGGAAGAATTGGTTCCCTTCTGCTTTCATTGAAGAGTTTGAGGAGTGTCAGCATTAAGTCTTCTTTGTATTTCTTGTAGAATTCTGCAGTGAATCTACCTGGGCCTGGGTTCTTCTTTGTAGGTAGGGACTTAATTACATTTTCAATTTCATTAATAGAAATTGGGTTATTCAGCAGTTTAACATCTTTTTGACCCAGCTTTGGAATTCATATGTTTCTAGAAATCTGTCCATTTCTTCTGTGTTACTGAACCTTTGAGAGTAGAGGTTTTTTAAATAGTGTTGATGATCTTCTGTATTTCCAGAGTCTGTAGTGATTTCACCTTTTTCATTCCTTATTGCATGAATTTGAGCTGTTTCTTTCCTTTTAAAAATAAAGTTGGATAGGGACTTACCAATTTTATTTATTCTTTCAAAGAACCAACTCTTTGATTCACTGATTTTTTGGATTGTTTTCTTAAGACTCTATTGTATTCATTTCTGCTCTGATTTTTATAATTTCTTCTCTTCTTTTGGCTTTGGATTTGTATGGTCTTCTTTTTCTAGATGTTTGAGGTGTAGTATCAGGTTGTTTATTTGTATTCCTTCTCTCTTCCTGGTATGGGATCTCAGTGCAATAAGTTTTCCTCTTAGGACTGCTTTCATTGCACCCCACAGCTTCCTTGAAGTTGTATTTGTATTTTTGTTTGCTTGTAGGTATTGTTTAATTTCTTCTTTAATTTCCTCTGTGACCCACTGATTGCTCAAGAGTGTATTATTCAATTTCCATGTGTTTGTGGGTTTTTTGCAGTTTCTCTTATTAATTTCTAGTTTCATGGCTTTATGATCTGATAACATGCATGGGATAATTTCAATTCTTTTGCATTTTTAAAAATATGTTCTGTGAACTAGTATATGGTCTATTTTAGGGAATGACCCACGTGCTGGTGAGAAGAATGAATATTCTGATGTTGCTGAATGGAACACTCTGTATATGTCTACCAAGTCCATTTGTTCACAGGTGTGATTCAGTTCTGTTATTTCTTTGCTGATTTTCTGTCTGGTTGATCCGTCTCTTGGTGTCAGTGGTCTGTTAAAGTCTCCTGTTGTAACTGTGTTATTCTAATTTGATTTTTTGTTTCTATTAATACTTGCTTTGTATAACTGGGTGCTCTGGAATTTGGTGCATACATATTTAAGATTGTTATCTCTTCCTTTTGAAGTTTTCCCCTAACCAATATGTAGTGACCTTCTTTATCTCTTTTTTTTTGTTTGTTTCTAACTAGATTTTATTTACTTTAAAAAAATTCTCAATGCAACCTACACTTTATAAAGTAAGAGGCATTAGCTAAGGTTTTAACATGGAAGTCACTTTGACAAACTTCAATGTAGATGTTTTTCTTTTACAATTATGTTTAAAAGAGCAGAGTTATTTGTTTTTATTTTATTTTTAAAATTTATGGTTTTTTTTTAAAAATAGAGCAGTACTATTAAACAGAATAGAGCAAAACAGTAATAAAAATATTTGCCTTCAAAGAGATGGTAGAAGAAAATCCCCCTTATTTGCTATGGTTAACTTCCCAGGAGATGCTCAGATTTCTGGTTCCCATTTGCTAACAGGGGGACAGTAGAAGGAGGGTAGGGGAAGTGGGGTGTTTGACTCTAGGCCAGGCACCAGTAGGTTCATTATTGCTTAGCAGGGAGGCAGGCTGGTTGCTTGGTTTCCCAGCTTCGTAAGTTCCAACATGGTGTGGATCTCTGAAGACACTGCTGGTTCTCCCCCTGAAGGGGCCATAGTCTGCCACACTGCAGCCACTTACCAGGGAGGGGAGCTGCTTGCTTTGTTTCCTATTGTCCTAAGTTCCAACCTCGTGTGAATCTCAGGAGACACTGTTGGTTCTCCCCCTAGAAGGGCTGCAGTCTGCCACACTGCCACCGCTTACCAGGGAGGGGAGGTGCTTCCTTGGCTTCCCAGCGTCCTAAGTTCCAACATGGCGCAGATCTCAGGAGACAGTTGTGGTTCTCCCCCCTGGAAGGGCCACAGTCTGCTACACCGCTGCCACTTACCAGGGAGGGGAGGTGCTTGCTTGGCTTCCCAGGGTCCTAAGTTCCAACATAGCACAGATCTTGACTTTCTTTATCTCTTAAGATCATTTTTGACTTGAAGTTCACATTATCTGCAAACAGAATAGCTACCCTCACTTTTTTTTTTGGTTCCTGTTGCATAAAGTATTATTTTCCATCCTTTGACTTTCATTCTGTGAGTTTCATTTTGGGTCAGATGGATTTCTTGCAGACAGCACAGGGTTGGATGTTGTTTCTTGATCCATTCTGCCCGTCTGTTTCGTTTAATTCATGAATTGAGACCACTTACATTAATGGTTATAACTGTTCTATCCTGGCTTATTGTTGACAGGTTATCTTTCTGTTGTCACATCTTTATCTTTCCATTCTGTTTACTTGTTTACCTTGCTGATTGGTTTTTTCCTATGTGTATCTAGACTGTCTTTCCGTATCCCTGCAGTGTTGCCTTGGTGATCATGAAGTTCTTCAGCTGTTCTTTGTCATGGAAGTACCTTGTTTCTCCATCCATTTTGAAGGACAGTTTTTCAGGGTACATCAGTCTAGGTTGAAAATCATTTTCCTTTAGGATCTGAAATACTTCACTCCACGCCCTTCTTTCCTTCATTGTTTGTATTGAGAAGTCTGCTGTGATTCTCATAGGCTTTCCTTTATAGGTGATCTGTCTTTTTCTGACAGCTTTTAGTATTCTATTCTTATGTTGGATTTCTGGGATGGTGATTATTATATGTCTGGGTGTAGTTTTATTTTGGGTTATGGCTATTTGGAGTTCTATATGCTTCACTAATCCTAATGTAAGTTTTCATTCTCATATTTGGGAAATTTTCAGCTATTACTTCTGTGAATAGCCTATTGGTATCATTTGTGTTGTTCCTTCTTTTTCATCTATCCCTGTCAATCTTATGTTGTTTTTCTTTGCACCATCTTGCAGCTGTTGAATTGCTATTTTCTGATTCCTTGTTATTTTTAAAAGATCTTTCCCTTCCTGTTCACTAGCTGCAATCTTGTCTTTGAGGTCTGAGATTCTATCTTCACTTTCATTGAGTCAGTTTTGACAACTTTCGATGGAATTTTTGATTTCCTGTATATCTCTTTGCATCTGCTTCATGTATTGTTTGTTTCTTAAATTGTTCTTTCAGGGATTCTTTTTGTTTTGTTCCTCTAGTTTTTTAACTGTGTCTTCTTTAAATGTGTTCAGCATCTCTTTCATTACTTTATCATTTCTTCTTTTACCTGGGAGATTATTACTAGTTTGAATTCCTTTAAAGCTTCCTGGAGTTGCTTATTTCAGTTGCTCTTATTACAGTATTTCAGGTGCATGGCATGTATTTTCTTCTATGTACATGGCTCCTATGCTTTCTTGGGATGGGCTGGTGATTGCATTTTGTTCTTTTGTTTTGTCATTTTCCTATATTTCTGTGTTTCAAGTGTTGTTCCAAAGCTTCCCCTGAATGTGCTGGGAATCGTCTCCTATGCCCTGGGCTCCTGGGACTGAATGGAGGTTGCTGAGCATGGTCCAGTCAGGCCCTCAGGCCCTCCTGTGCCACCTTCAGTGTTCCAGGTAGCTGGGCAGGCACCTAACCACTGTGGATGATGGGCTAAACCTCTTCCTGGGCAAAGATCAATGCCCTGAAACTCACTTCACCTGCTCTCAACTCCCATAATTGAAGAAGGTCACTGGGCATAATTTACTCAGCCCGCCAAACCTCCCAAGGCTAGTCTAGTGTGGCTGCGAGCTGGGCGGGTTCTTGAGCTCTGGGAGGGATGATCTTAATAGTCTCCCAGGGCTCAGGTTGGCATGCGGATTCACCCCAGCTGCCAGCTGAGTTTTCCAGCTCTTTGCTTCTTGGTACTTATTTTCTATAGCACACCACTGCATTGTCTATGTGGCCAACAGCACAAATCAGAAATGATGATACACCACTTCCAAAAGAGCTCTAATTCCAAAGGAAGCAAACCACAGTACTACGAGCAGTAGTGCAGAGAGACTTGTGGAGAAGAATTAAAACCTTTAGCCAACAACCAGTGAGGAACTGAAGTTGCTAGCATCCTTACAAGTGAGCTTGGAAGTGGATTCTCCAGTCAAACCTTGTAAATTCCCTAAATCCAAAATAACTTAGATAAACACTCCCAGTTAGGGCACTCAGAGAAACTGCACAAGAAATTTAGTTTTAAATGGTTATGTTTTAGAGTAATTGTCATATGCCTCATCTTCCCAGGGTCCAGATGGTTAGTGTTTTGCATCCTTCAGTGAATTTTTTGCTCCTGACTATAGCTGGCATATACCAGATTTTTTGGGTATATGACAGAGGAGACTTAACTCAGGGCCTCACATACACTAAGTAAACTCTACCGCTGAGCTACATTCCCAGCCCTTTATATTCTGAGACAGGGTCTCACAAAGTTGCCTGGGCTGGGCTCAAACTTGAAATCCTCTTGCCCCTGCCACCCCAGGAGCTGTTCTCACAGGCATGTGCCACTGCACCTGGCTGTCTACCCTGCTGATCACTTCATCCAGCACCCTCCTTCCTTCATAGTACTAAGTACAGCCTGTAACCCCCCCCCCCGCCCCGTGTAATAAGTTCCTATGTTACACTGTAGGCTATGACAGCAGGGACGATAACTATCACATTCTTCACTGTATTTCCTACATTTATTCAGGGTATGGCACAAACAAGATCTAAGTGAATGTTTACTGGATGAATAAAGTATTGAAACTTTTTGCACAAACAGAACAAACACAAAATTTACTTTAGTAATAGAGGCCAGACATTCTTACTAGAAAAGCATTGAGTAGAAAGAGAATTGTGTCAACAGAAACACAATTTTTAAAGGATAATGAGGAGTCAGTGTACAGTATACTCACTTGATTTTGACGACAACAAGCAGATCGCTGAACAGGAAAAGATGCCGCTCCTGTCTCTGCAGGCCTCTTTTGAGTTCCACTCGGCCGTCGATCAGCAGAGTGCGACTGGCGCACATGAATGATGACAGAAACGCACAAGTGTCAACACCAGCGGAAGGACTTTCCCTGCGACAAATCAGACACTGTGGATCAGTCCAACAAGAAACTATTACTAACCTGTTTTAAAAAATAAAAGTTACAGCTTACAGTTGGTCGAGAAATAGAAAACTGTAATTTTTAAATGCAACGTCGTAGTATCTTACTGATCTTCCAGCCTATTCTTCACATAACAGTCTTTAACTTCATTATAAAATTTTTGAAACATAAAGCTGACAATTTTATACTAACAACACACGCATACCCCATCCATCCAAGTCTCTATCCCTGAAATTGAACCCTGCTGGTTCCATTTACCTGAGCCAACTATCTATCTTTCTATCCAGTCTTTATTTTATGTTTGGCATTTTAGTATTAACTGCTTAAACTGTTAATTCTTCAGCATATATGTCGGTAACTAGAGCACAGTTTTTATTTAAAATTTTTCTCTTGTTATAAAACACACAATGAACACGAAGTGTGATATTCACTGAGTTTTGACAAATGTGTTCAACTGCGTAATCTGTATCTCTATTATGGTATATAAAAGTATCATTCCTCCAAAGAATTGCCTTGTCCTTTCTTTGTTATATTCAAATTTTTACATTCCCAATTATGTAAAAAGAGAAAGCAGATTTTAACCAATACTGGCCTGTCTACTTAGTGTCCAGCATATCTGGCCAGTGAAAACAGAGTCCTGCATGTGGTCAGTTGCACTGCTGCTCACTGCATCTCTCTGGCCCTCTCCTCTTCCTTCTCCCCGGGCTCTCTTTCTCCTCATCTTCTAGATAGTGGCTCCTTGCCACAAGCCTCCACACAGTCTTGTGTTATGAGGATTTCCTCTGCTGACCCAGTAGTGGGGGTTCAACCCAGGGGCTCCACACTGAGCTACATCCCACCCTGTAAAACAAAGAAAATTTGGTTTTTCCGTTTTGAAAAAGGTGTGTTGCTCAGGCTGTGCTCACACTGTGACCTTCCTGCCTCAACTTCCCAGAGTGCTGGGGTAACGGATGTGTATCGCCATGCCTGATGGACTTCCACTCTTGCACAACTAGTCCCACAGTTTGTCATTTTTCTTGGCCAGTACCAAATCTCCCGAACTGCTTCTCCCAGGAAATCGCTGCCCCATCACTCCGGGAGCAACCGCCATCCTGATGTTTTGCTTCCTAAGAAACCTGAAGGCTAATTTTGCCTGTTTGAAGTTATACATACTCTTCTGAACGAGCTGCACAAGCTGTGTCTGGGTGGGATCCAGTCTAGAAGCCACTAGAAGATTACACTAAATAGCAGTCAATGCATAGACTTACCAGGTTTCTATTTCTACTGTTGATGAACTGCTTTCTGGTTTTTATTTTTAGCTATTATGAATAAATCTGTTTCTAAAAGTTATACTCGTCTTTGTATGAGCTATGCTTTTATGTTTCTCAGGTAGTTTAACTTAGAATGTAACTGGTGGGGCATGAAGTAGGTCTATGTTTAATTTTAGAAAAAACTACTGGTTTGTTTTCCAGTATGGTTTCACTAGTTTTGTATTGTCACAAATACTACAGGAAACTTTCAGTCACTCTACAAACCTTAGCAGTATGCATGTGGTGCTTTTTTTTGAGACAAAGGTCTTGCTGTGTAATTCAGGCTGGCTTTGAGCTCACTATGTAGCCCAGGCTGCCCTCAAACTCATAGCAATCCTCTTGCCTTAGCTTCCCAAGTGCTGGGATTACAAATATACACTACCACATTTGTTCAGCCTTTTGAATTTTAGAAACTTAGTGGACATACAGCAGTACCTCAGTAAGATCCTAATTTATATTCCCATGATGAATGCTGTCACGTGATAACTGGACATTTGTATATCTTCATTTGTGAATAAGCCATCCTCAAGTCTTTTGCCCATTTTTTTAAAAAAAGGGTTATGTGTCTTTTTATTATTTAATTGTAAAATATTTTTATGCATTCTGGATATCTGTCTTCTGTCAGGTATGTGTTCTGGAAAAATATTTTCTTAGATTGGTGCTTATTTATACACCTTCACTGTGTTTTTGATAAAAAGCTTATAATTTTGATGAAGTCTAATTTATTAATTTTTTAGTATGGTATGGCTGTAAGAAAACTTAATCATTAATTATTTTCCTATGTAGTCCAATGAAATAGGTATGATTTTCAGTCTTACATTTAGGTCTATGCTTTATCTCTAATTCTGGCTATTGTACTACTGTACAAGGCAGAGGCTGCAGTTAATTTTGTTTCTCTAGTTGCATGCATTATTTATTCCAGCATCACTTGCACAATGATGCCTCAGTCTAAAACAGGTGTCTAGCCCTTGGATGAAATGTCAGAATAAAGGTGCTTTGGCACCTTTGTTAAAAATCAAATGACCATAATAATACATCTTTTCCTATGGTGTCTATTCTGCCGCATTTAGCTCTTATTCATTCTTATGCTAGAATTACATTCTCTTACTGTTTCTCTTTCCAATAAATTACAGAAGTATGCAGTATAATTCCACCAACTGTTTTCTTCCTTGAGACTTCTTTGGGTGATTTAGGTCTTTTGTATTTCCAAATAAATTGTAAAGATTAACAAAGAGGAAGAAAAAAGGAGGAAAAAATCTATTGTGATCAGGGATCAAAAAATGATCCCAGGCTCTAATCTGCCTACTATGCATTATCTGAGGCTAGATGATACAAGAAAATGGGGCACACATCTAGCACTCAAAGAGGCATGAGAAGTAGATATACACATCTGATAACCTCATAGAGGTGGACAAATAAAAAAAGGAATGACCAGAATTTCCCAGGGAAGGAGCCCAAAGTAAGAAAAAAGGTAGATACATCACTGAGAAAAGATATCAGTGGAAAAGGAAAGAGAACCTATAAACAAGACGAGTGCGGAAAGACACAGCAGACAAAAGGGACAAAAGGCAGCGGTCATCCGGAGTGCTGGCCCTGGGGAGGGTGTGACAAGGGGCGGTCCAGGAAGACATCTATGAGAAAAAACATCATTTGGCCATTAAGACCTCCAGGGAAACAATTCCAGGAAAACAGTGAAGGCAGAACTCAAATGTCCTGGGGTCTGAGGAATAAAAGAACAAAATATGAAAAACTAGCAGCAGTAACTTTGGTTTCTTTTAACACCTTCCAGAAGCTGACAGTAAAGATACTAACGGGGTGGATGCTAGAGCTGGCGAGGAGGGAAAAGCAAAAGAAGCTCCATCTGCCTGGAGGGTAAGTCCCGTTATTCCTCATTTTACAGACCTGAGGCTGCAAGAGCAGCCAAGTATAGCGCTACTGAATGAAAATGACTCATAGTAAGTGTGGCGTTAGAACATGTACTTTTACTGAAAATTCCATGTAGTCTTTCAAAAGGGCAAGCACTTAATAACAGACCCAATTCTCTCCTCTGCCACGGTTACTGAGCTCAGCAGTTGAGGACTTCAAGGCTTGGGGGAAGGAGGAGCTAACTCAAACCTTGTGCTTAGTATCCTTAGATGGCCAGACATGTGGGTGCCTCAGCTTCGTCTCTAAGGCAAGGTCGTTGAATAGGACTATAAAATCTTTAAGTTTCTTTATAATATATACAAGACTCCAGCAACTCCTGATATCTGTGCCATGTTGGAACTTAGGGCACTGGGAAACCAAGCAACCAGCTCGCTTCCCTGGTAAGCAGCTGTGGTATGGCAGGCTGCAGCAGCCCCAGGGGAAGAACCACCAGTGTCTCCTGAGATCCATGCCATGTTGGAACTTAGGACGCTGGGAAACCAAGCAACTTAGGATGCTGGGAAACCAAGCAAGCAGCTTGCTTCACTGCTAAGCAATAGTGAGCCTACCGGTGCACGGGATGAGAGTCAACCATCCCACTACCCCTGCCCGCTGTTAGCAAATGGGAACCAGAGATCTGAGCATCTCTTGGGAGGTTGATCATATGCAATGTAGCAAATAAGGGGGATTTCCTTCTACCATCTCTTTGAAGGCAAATATTTTTACTACTATTTTGCTTTACTCTGATTAATGATACTGCTCTATTCAATATTCTGTTTTCATAAGTTCTATAATGTTCTGTATTTCATTTTTTTTGCTATACATGAACAACTATCGTGAAGATAATGAAATATACTGTGATACCTATTACTGTTATCCCAGTAACCTGCTGTGAAGTTCTGTACCAATTTCACTACACTGTCTCAGCTGGCTTTGTTCTGTTGTATTTTACATATATATATATATATATTTTTTTTTTTTTTTTCACTATAATAACATGTACCTGTTGGGCAAAAATACTACCAATGAGAGGAAAACAACACATGGATACCATTAGGCATCTTTATGAACCCTATCTTAAAGTATTGTTTATAAACACAGTGTACTTGACTGTCACCTGAAACAATCTAGAGTTGAAATAAAAAACAAGTGAAGGGAATAACAATAAGAACAAAGGGATTTTTAAAACCAATCTAATTTTTGAGAAAAATTCAACAACAACTTACGAGGGTCAATACTGATTTTAGGGTATAAGAGGCTAATCTAATTTTTTTTATATCGGTACCAGGGATCGAACTCAAGACCATGTGCTTGCAAGGCAGGTGCTTATGCCACTGAGCTAAATCCCCAGACCCTGCCAATCTAATTTTTGAGAAAAATTCAAGAAGTTTGAAGGGTCCATGTTGATTTTAGTGTATAAGAGACCACAAACTTTCTCCTCAACCATTTGGTTCACTTGGCAGCTGTAATAAATGGAGATTTGAGGGGCCACTAGGATCATCAGCCTCACTGGTCTCATTCCACGGACCTAGGGGCTGGCTGGATTGTCATCTCACCCCCCACTCCACGGACCTCAGGCTGGCTGGATAGTAGGCCTCACCTCTTTTCTTGCCACACAGACCTAGGGGCCACCAGGATGGTTGGCATTGCCCCCACCTTGCTCCACAGACCTAGGGATCATCGGGCTCACCCTCCCTTAGCACATGGACCTGGGGACAAGTGGGATCATTGGCCTTGCACACCTCCAGGCTCCACAGACCTAGGGCACAAGCGGGT